GGCATCTCCCCTCTTCCCTCGGGAAGGGAAGACAGGAGGTCCTCCCAAGCCACCCAGAGCAAGTCGTTGCTCCGCCTGGCCTCAGTTTCTCCCTCCGGAAAAAGAAGCCGTAACAACGCCTCATGTGGCTGTTGGGCTCATTCTCTTTCGGGCAGGAGCGAGTTGAAGGAGAAGATAGGACCTGTGCTGGAGCACGGCCAGAGTGACTCTGGGCCAGTTCTCAACCTCTCCGAGACTCGGAGATCTCTGTGCATCGGACTTCTGGAGAATTGAGTGGATTAGTTCCTGCAGTGCCCAGCACACAGTAGTGCTCAAGGCTGGTGTGTCCAACAAGAGGAGGCTCTGTATGAGGAGGGTGTAGATGGTGGGAAGAGGTATATAGGCTGGCCACTGGGCACAGGAACCCTAGATGGTGTCCTGCCAGAGCTCAAAACAAGGAGGAGACAAGCCTGTTGGATCCAGGAATTATAGAACTAGAAGAGGGGAACTGAGTCCTAACCCAGGGGAATACTGAGAACTAGAAAACGGAGGTGGTATTCCAACTGAAGTTGGGCAGTGAGATGAGGAGGGCGATAGCCTGCTACAGATGGGAGATCTGTAGGGATGCTTGTTGAGTAAGTGAGTGCAGCTGACTCAAGCCCAACAGGGCATTTCTCTAGCTGAGGGGATGGGCGGTCTGGAGCATAGTTCCTCCAGCACCTCTGGCTGAAAGGCTTTCAAAGACCCTGTCCTTAGGTGGGTTAGTAATTTCCTCCTTCACCAGTCCCTTACATAGCATTGTATTCTGAGCTTGACATTCTAGTCTTCTCTTGGCAATGTCGTACACTCCCAGTCTTTCCTTGCATATTTCCCCCCACTACAGAGAGGGTTGTCAAGGCAGCCAGATATTGGGCAAGTCACCACCCGCTCTGGAGCCTGAGTTTCCTTGTTGGAAAGCATCTGCCTCCCTGGTTAGATAGGAGGTTGAGCTGCTGTATGTAGTGGCTTTGCTACTTTGTAGCATCTGTCCTGTTCTGTGCTTGTTTTCATTCATTCAAGAAATATTTTCAGAGTCCCTTGGGGAATGTGGGGGACAGAGGGAAAGAAACTTGGACCTTGCAGCCCTTCATCTATTCCCTGCCCTGAGTAGAGAAAACAGGGACTCAGGCCAACCTGAGATCACTGGGACCAGAAGAGGGGGTGGAGGATTCTGTGTGTGGGGGAGGGGTCTGGGCTGGGCTGAGAATGCAGCAGGCAGGGCTATTTAAGCCGAGGGCTGGTTGGCAGCCCCATTAGCCTGTCCTGTGAGCTGCCGGCATGGATGACATCTACAAGGCTGCGGTGAGAGATGGGGCTGGGCAGGACTGGGGTAGGCGGGCCCACCGGAGCTCATCTCAGAATGGGGGGCAAGGTTGCCCCAGGGAAGTGGTGGGGACCTGGGAGAAGGCCCATGTACGTTCAACCCAGGCCTTCATGGGGACGGTTGGGCTGGTGTTTGGGGATGCAGAGGAACAGGGGGTTCAGAATCTAAAGATAAACTGTCAGGCTGGGTTGTGGAGGAGGTCATAGCTTTTAACATCATGTTTCCCCTCTGTTTCCAAGTGTCTGTAGTCTGTGGCACTGTGTCTTGGCCACATCTCTCTTCATTTGTGTCTCTGGATCTTTTTGCCTTTCTCAGTCTCTTTCCATCTCTGTTCCTCCTGAGCTGAGTCCCTGACACTGTCTCCCTGTCCTTACCCCACCCCCATTTCTGCCCCTCACATTCTGCTTCTCATACCCTCATGATCTGCCACCCCCCTCCAGCTCCTTGACTGTCCGAAGATGCTTTGCATGGTAGAAGGGGTGTGCGAGAGAGGGGGCTCAAGTCTGAATCTTGGGCTGGGGAAGGGGTTCTGATGTTCGCAGGGAAAGACCAGGCATGGGGAAGAGCCAGGGAAGAAGGAACAGAGAACTTAGGCTTCAGTGCCCATTGGGCCTGGTGGGCACATGGTTCAGTGGCTTAGCTAGGGATGAGGGCGAGGGAGCGAGGGCAGGAGAGTGGTCACCCCAAGTCCCTGCAGCCTCCTGGGTCACTGAGGGGCTTCAGATGCTATTCCATCCAGGGTTGGTGGTGACCTCCCCCTGCCCTAGAGACAAGGACATTCTGGTACAGACAACTGTTTCCAGGGGAACCCCCCCTCAGCCCCCAGAATGCAGCCCCACTCCTGGGCAGGGAAGGGTGGTAGCTGGCTCTGGGGGCACCCCTGCTTATCCTGTAGGAGTCCATGGAGCTGGGGTGAGGGCAGCCCTCCGCCCAGTGCCCATACAAGGCCTGGCAGGCTGGGGACTAATTTTGGCTCCTGAGGCAGCACCAGCAGGCCAGGGGGCCAGATAACGCTGCCCCACCCCCTGCATGCCAAAGTCCCCAGAACAATCACCAGGTTTAACTTTGTCCTCCGTTAAAAATAGCCCAGTGGCCACCCTGGTCAGGTTACATTGGGTAGCCTGCCCACCCCCACACTGGTTTTATTGTCCCAACCTGAGGGACAGCTGTCCCTCAGGCCACCCGGCTTGGGTTTCATCAGGGAGCCAAAAGGATGTTGAGTGATCACTGACAATTGTTACTGAGGGTCACCTTGGCCCTGAAGGGAATGCCCACCTGTCACCCTGCCCTGAACCCAGCCTTAGTGGGGCCAGCTGGGTTACCTGAGGGCTTTAGGAGCAGGGAGGGAGGACTGAAGCCTCTGCTCTGTGACCTGGGAGTAGCCTGCTTCCTCCTGGCTACAGTCTTTCCACCTGTGGAATGGGTTGGTCTCCTCCTCAGTAGCTAAGCCTGAGTCTGAGCCCTGGGACCCCTTTTCCTCTCTAGGTAGAGCAGCTGACAGAAGAGCAGAAAAATGGTGAGTGCTCCCTATTGCACATGTGGGGCACCAACAGGGCCAGGCTGGGGGAGCATGGGGATCCCCTATAAGAAAAGGACCGCAGGCTGAAAATCAGAGGCTATGTCCCTCTCGCTGTGACCTCAGAGAGGTCTTGGAGGGAGGGGGGCAGGTTGGCAGGCGGCCCCAGCTATCTGGCCTTTGGGGGTCCTGGCTGCTGAGCCCTGGCTGCTCTGCCCCTCACCCCTGCTGTCTAATAGAGTTCAAAGCAGCCTTTGACATCTTCGTGCTGGGCGCTGAGGATGGCTGCATCAGCACCAAGGAGCTGGGCAAGGTGATGAGGATGTTGGGCCAGAACCCCACGCCTGAGGAGCTGCAGGAGATGATCGATGAAGTGGATGAGGATGGTGAGCCTCCCTCCCCCCCAGGCTCCAGAAGAATAAAACCCCCATTTCGCTGGGAGCTTGTATCCTGGCTCTGTTTAACCAGGAGCTATTTAGCCTCTCTGAACCTCAGTTGCCTTAGCTATAAAATGGGCATAATGGCCACACAAGCCTCACAGAGAACATGAAGATTTGTGTCAAGGGTGCTGCCTGCAGTTCTGACCACCACCTCTAATGGCTGTGCTGCCCACCCTCAGGCAGTGGCACAGTGGACTTTGACGAGTTCCTAGTCATGATGGTTCGGTGCATGAAGGATGACAGCAAAGGGAAGTCTGAGGAAGAGCTGTCTGACCTCTTTCGCATGTTTGACAAGTGAGCATGTGGCCCTTGATCTCTGACACTGACCCTCACCCAAGCAGAGCTGGGGAGAGTTGGGGCGGTCTCAGGTTCCAGGCCTAGCAACCCCACAGCCTCTGTCTCCCCCTGTCTGATGCAGGAAAGGGATGCCCATCCCCCAGTGTCCCTGCCCTGCCTCCCGGGGTCATGGGTGGGCTGCCTCTTCCCCTCCCCCGGCCCCCACCCCTCTGAGGCCCTGTTGTTCCCTGCACAGAAACGCTGATGGTTACATCGACCTGGAGGAGCTGAAGATGATGCTACAGGCTACGGGTGAGACAATTACAGAGGATGACATCGAGGAGCTCATGAAGGACGGGGACAAGAACAATGATGGCCGCATTGACTACGACGGTGAGTGGGTGGGCGGGCTGCACCCTCCTGCTTCCATGCCTTCCCCCGCTGACTCCTGCCTGCTCTTTCTCCACAGAGTTCTTGGAGTTCATGAAGGGCGTAGAGTAGATGCTGACTTCACCAGCAGCTGCCCATGCCCACCCTCCAACTCCAGCCGGGTCCTGGGATGGGGCAGGGGCCAGGGTCCTCAACCCTGGTCTCCCTGACTCCCTCCCTAGCCCTGTCCTGGGGAATGCAAATAAAGCCTTGCTCCCTGGAGGCCTGGTGTCTGGCTATGATGTTCCCAGGGCAGTGGAGTCTTCCCCTGGGTCCACTCCTGCCTGGCAACTGTTTCCTTCCCCATCCCAGACAAGCTGGACACAGATCCTGCGCTTTGACCACTGCTGCACACTGCCTTCTGCAGGAGCGGTTAGATTCTGTCAGAGGCTACCATGCTACCTGCCCTGCCCACTGCTTTC